GGGGGGGTAAATGGACGGAAAATAAGGATTATTATCCGTCATAATTGTGTCGCGAAAAATAACTTTGCTCGCCCGTGATATATCGCCACATGATAGCCTCAGGGGGGGAAGCACCTCCAAGGTGGCGCGGCCGCCCGGGGACTTTCCGACGGCTCTTTCTTCAGAAAAGGGCCTCCACGCCGGCTGCTGCTGTTGAGACTTGTTGTCCCTCCTCAGCAAAAGAGTTTCATTTCCGGTCGCTCCCCTTTCCTTATGCACTTCCTTCCTATTTCGACTTACTTTCTTTACATACGTCCAACGGGCTCTCTCTCGGTCTCTCTCTCTCTCTCTTCTTTTTTTTCTCTCGCAGAAAGGATGTAGTACCCCGCCCCATCATACTGCAGTCCCTTTTGCTAACTGGAAACACAGACAAGCCGGGTCTGAACGAGACGGTCGGCGGCACTAAGAGGATGAAAATATTGGTACCGCACACTACGTGTTCTGCTGGACTACTTCTTCTCTGGCGTCTTCTGTTCTGTGTCTGTCCCACCCTCTTCCTCCTCCCTCTCTCTCTCTCTCTCTATCTGTCTGTCTGTGCGGGAAAAAGTTTTTACTCACTTCATACCCTTTATTGGCACATGAATAGAAAGGAAAAGGTCTTTCGCCGCCTCCAATAACTGTCTTTGATGAAAATTATTACTGGACCACACAAAGACTTCGAGCAGGCACGCACAGCATCCGAAATGGGGGAAAAAAGGGGGAGCATCATGCTATTCTAATTTTCCTTCTTCCAACGACGCGAGGAGCAAGATAATTCTGCCGGCTGCACACGTCGCACGCTGCCGCTCGCTCCAGCTGCGGGCCCGCTTAATTACATACCCCAGCCAGGTCACATCCCTGGCCCGGGGGGAGCCCGGCGCAGCCCGGCGCAGCCCGGCGCAGCGCCAGCCTGTTATCTCCAACAGCCGCACAGCTTCTTTTTTATACGCGTCACTCTTTTACTAAGCCGACCAGTAAGCCAAAAGTGCTGGTTTGTTTGAGAGAGAGAGAGAGAGAGAGAGAGACGGCACTTGCGTTCACTGTAAAAAACGATAACAATTCTTGTTAACTGCGAAACGAACCCACTGTTTAGGAAATGTGGCCTTTGTATATGCACCCTTTTGGGTGATATCTTTGTTTATTATGGACCTCTAGTTTAAGGGGGCAGACTTGCAAAATGAAGAGTTTTGGAAAATAGTCAGTACAGAAAAACCACTTACCGCATCGATTTAAAACTAAAGGTCTTAAAGGTGTAAAGATCAACCACTAACGGTATCTTTCAAGAGTAACTAGCAATTTTTTTGACAGTCCCAGCCCAGACCCACCCGATTCAGAATAATCCTTCACACCGAAAAGAACTGCATCGTCCAGTTGGAGGCAAAGATGGGCTTGTTCCTGAGCGCATGAGACAATAATTTTTGTTCAAGGGCAAATAGCTCTTTCACGCATTAGTTTAAGGACAATGTTAATTTCCTTAATGAAACGCTTTATAAAGCGTTTGGAAGTATACTTCCAGGAGAAACACCGATGTTACATAACAGTGTTGTTCTTTCTTCAACAATAAGAGGCAGTGAAAAACAACAATAAGTCTTCAATTTAATAACATTATTTCTCATCGTAAGTTGCGGTGGGACATATAGTAGGAACAGGAAAGAGAGGAAGAAGGAGTGATAGCAACGAGAGAATGGTGATGTAGGAGAGAGAGACACTCAGACAGACAGAAGCTGCGAGGACCAAAACACGGACAAACAGCATTTCTTCTCACTTGTACTCTTGCTCGTCCTCTTTTCGGGCGCCCTCTCCTCTTTTATTTAGTAACCCAGAGCGCGGTGGAGGACTATGGATTAGGCGCTAATGAGGCCAGGTAGAGCCTGGCGTGGCACATTAGGGGGGGGGGGGGTGCAGAGTAGCAGAAGTGTTCGTGGCGGCGGGGCAAGGGCGAGCACTAGGGGATCGGCATACTCTCAGAGTGTGTGTGTGTGTGTGTGTGTGTGCATATAAATGAGTGGGTAATATGTGTGTGTGTGTGTGTGTGTGTGAGCGCGCGCCTGCGCGTGTTGTTCTAGAAGAAAATATGTGGACAATAAAAATCGTTCGGACCTCGGTCCTGCCTTATGAAGTTAGTTTCTTTTTGTCTTCTGTAACACTTTTAGCGGTAATCTAACTGTGCACATCTGGCTGTATGAATCGCTGTGTTCTTTACAGCGTTGTATTTAGATTTGCGACCCGATTATTTAGAAAATATTGCCAAAAAAGTGCGTGAACGGCTCCCATGTCCTTTGTTTGAGTTGACATATCTGCGCTTTCCTTCACTTTTCACGTAAGTTTAATTAATACATATTTACAATATTGTAAAATTCGGTGGTTAACAACAGATTCCGTTGTCAATAGACTTCTGGAGGCAAGTCTTGGCCTGCTCAGCTCCGTCGTGGTAATATAAACACTTATACAGGAGGCTTACGGCGTTCTGCACTCGGCAACGGGTTCCTTTTTGTTCCATTTTTGCGATGACTTGTCTGCTGCACATTGAAGGAAGGTAGTCGCGGGAAGGTGCGATGTGTTTCAAGCAGACGTCCATCTGCGCTTCAAGGATGTCGAGTCTCCCGCCCTCGCATTGCCTCGCGGTGGCAACGCTCAGCTGTAAGCAAGCAAAATTTATCACTATGATTTCAGTACACTGTACTTCCAAATGAAATGAAAGTTGTGACAATGTCTTGCCAAAGGCAATGGGACAAGAGTAATACCTTTTCAGCGGCATTGAATCAGTCATTGCAAAAACAGCATCAATTTCCAATTTTGGAAATGAGCGGAAGTATTTTTTTTTAAGTTCTCCTTAATTAGTAGCAGTTTAAAAACGCCGAACTGTTGGCAGTAAAGCTTCATCGCTAAAATATCGGTGGTGAAGACTACTTTGCCAAAATGTGGCGATGAAGCTTCATTACCGACAGTGTGACGCTCATTGCCAAAATTGGCAATGAATACTGCCTTTGGGATGGCGCATTGATCGAGAGTCCCCCACTCGCCAACTCGTTGTACACGAGGAAAAATACTCGCAAGATACTCGCGACAACTCACAAAAAATTCGCGAAAACTCGCAAAAAAAAATCGACAAATACTCGCCTAATACTGGCGGATACTCGCCATTTCGCACAAACTCACGGATACTCGCTAACACTATCGAATACTCGCGGATACCCACGCAACTTACTACAAATGTTATAAATTACGAAGATATTTTTCTCAGTGAAAAGTACTTTGAATATTGCAGTCGTTACCAAGGCACTTACCAGCGCGACTGCGACTGCGACTACGGCGAAGAGAATGAAAGTTTTGGAAGCCATTGCTGCGAGGTGAGAAGTCAGATTGGTCACTGATACGTATTTGGCTGAGAGCTGATGGTTTTATAGGAGGAGGCGGTCCTCTCAGTGCAGTGATCTTGCTGTTTGCTTAGACCACTTCAAATCGTCGAAGTATTATTACTCAATGACACTCCAACTGCAACAGCTGTGTTTACGTGCATACCACCAGTGACCACGCACATCACTGCTGATAACGATACCTCAGTGGAACAACCGCTCAATCTCAAAATGTGACGTCACAACCGCTCTCTCCCTCTCACCTGTCGGCGACAGGTGAGAGGCAGAGAGCGGTTGTGACGTCGCATTTTGAGATTGAGCGGTTGTTCCACTGACGTATCGAATAAGCCATGACTCCGAACTCAAGAGTGATAAAATCCAACAGTCGTAAATGCAGTACCAAATGTGGCACCGAGGGGTGCCTAACTCCATAAAAATGTGTTCACCGGATTACCAAATTGTAAAGGTCACCAATTATTACCAAAGATTACCTATGTATACTAGGTATGATCCACCTGCATCGTAAAAACCGACGTAAAAAGATTTGTTTGCTTTTGGTATGCTTTCTGTATGCTTTCTGTATGC